CTTTTTTGATAACGCCATTTCTGCTAATGAGGGTGTAGCAGGCAGGTAGAGAACAGGGTAGAAATTACGTCATAACAAGGGCGCAAAACAGTGCGCCCTAGCGGATAATTCTTGAATTAAATTTAATTAAAAAAATTAAATCCATGTCTTTTACGCTTATTTTCCACTTTCAAATTATCCTGCGGGCCAGATCGAACCGCCTCGCGGGCCGTATGTTTGACACCCCTGCCGTACAGTCTTTGCAGGGGCAACCACATCCAAACAGAAATGGAGATAATCCGTGGGTAGCTCCCTCGATGTCCTCATCATCTGGACTCAGTAGTACATCCCAGTCTGTGGTGTCAAGGCAGTCTCTCAGTTCATCCTCAGCTTCAGGTCTCTATCTCGTGATGGAGCGATTGACGAACGGCTGCCTTTGGACCAAAGGGGTGTACTGTGGCTGTACGTAAACCAAGTTATGGTCAGACTTGCCCAGAGGGGGCAGGGCGGTAACTCTATATAGTTCTTTCACATTAACATACTTAAGGTCAATTGTCCTATTACTCCTTGTGGGGCAATCCACCACCTGATGAAATTCAGCCAGTGTAGAGTCCAGAGTGACGTGATTAAAGTCACCAGAAATCAGGACCAAAGCTTCAAGGTGTTGTGTCCGCAGCTCCGTTGTGATGGTGTGAATTTTCTCACATGCAGTGGCTGCGACAGCTCTCGAAGGGATGTAAACACAGAGGGCGATCATGTGACTAAACTCCCTCGGCAGATAGTATGGCCGGAGGCTAACGGCTAATAGCTCCAAGTCCAGACATGTCCGTGGTTACACCAACGGTTATTAACGTATATGATGAGTCCCCCATCTTATTGGGAAGAGAGTTTACGTTACCCATGATAACGGAGGGAATCGATGGTTTGAAACGCCTCCGGTTATCCGCTATCTTCGCCTTTATTTTAGCCCCGGCTCTGCATCCTTGGTACCTCCTCTTGAGCTCTGCCGGTATGTTGTGCCGTATTCCGTTCATACTTGTCCTCAGAGCCAGCAGCTCGTTGAATAAACAAGAGAACTGGCTCCAGTTGCCGGTTTTGGATTGTAGGTATCCATAGGATACATTTAGTGAAAATGCTCTGTGAAAGTAGTAAAAAGTAGAGAAAGTACAAATGAAACTTTGGAAAAGTTGGTACTGCAGACTCAATCACTGCAGAATAACACGAGAAACACGAGACCCAAGTTTTTAAAGTTTCACTTGCAAGCAAGGAGTGCAGAAGAATGGTTACATTCAGAACTGCACTGAGGAACTCCTCAGTGCTCAAAGCTTATATACAATTTTTTACACACACACTTAAATGGTCAGCACCTTGGCGCTTCATAGCCATGCAGTGATTGGCAAAGGCTGCTTCAAACAAAAGATTCTCCACCAATAGGAGCCATGTACATCTGATCAAAGACATGCACTTTGGATTCTTTTCCTTTGTGATGTTCTGTTGTCCTCATTATTCAGGCAGAGAAACTAGTTCAGGCCGGTTCTGTGACCTGTCTTTATCTCCAAGTGTAACAGTCATCCGTGCCATCCATACCATACACCATCCTGTTATGTAAACCATCAGCATGCACACCTTTCTTCAGTACTTCTCCATTTAGTACAACATAACAACAGCATTCAATAACAGTATAAACTGATATGGAAACCTAATATAATGAATATATTGTAAAGATTGAATAAATGTATTTACAATTGAACTGAAGAAGCCTCTTGGATGAGAGGTGAAATGTCTTCTTTTAGAAAATTAGAATTAGAAAAAACAGAACTTTTCCACCTTGACCATGACCTGGATGACTGAGAATCATGTATTTACAATATATTAACATACCCTGCTCTTTTACATATCAATTAGACTGTGAAATAGAACAACTTCTCATATCAGACATGTACAACTTCAATTAGATTTTCTGAACAGACATTATTTCGGAACTATAGCACAGTTGAACACTTCAAACAGCTGAGGTGTCCTTGTCAGTTTGTGGGGCAGTGGGAATGAGATAATAAGTTTATTGGTACAAGGCATGCACATACACTGAATAGATACCATTTTAGCAATCATTGACTTAATGCACGGTATTACACAAGTTTAAATCAAACAGAGCAAAATCAAAACAGTCAAAACAGGCATAAGTAATTTTAGAAGGATACTCCACCATGAACCGGAAGTAAGCCAAGAAAGCAGATCTTGTCCCAAGTCCAATGTGAATCATGTTTTTGTGATTGAAGATGTTCCTGTAAGGCTTGCACTTCACCAATGATCTGAGTAATATTATCAGTTGAGTCAGGAATAAATGTACAACAATAATCACCAACAAGGGCACAGACTCCACCCTTCTCTGCTAGGAGGAAGTCTGATGCCAATGCGATTTTGCATAATCATGGTTTTCATAGCACGTTTTTCAGGATCATCTTTCATGAATTCAGCAAATGCAAAACAGAAGCGGTAAGGTTGTCTAGTGACCAAAAAACATCTTTCATCCTATACCCTAAATATGCAACGCCATACATTGGAAAAAGAGGCATAAAGAATCCTTTAAGATTACTAATAAGCGGAGGTGACTTCGTTTCCATAGTGCTGCGTTTGTAATGGTGGATAACAGTTGAATGTACAGAGAAAGTCAAGTTAGCAGAACTTGTTCTAACAGAGGCTGGAACAATTTGAGCTAAGTAACAGGTTCCACACCATTCTTCGGGCAACCATAGATAAGTTTTGGAACCACAATTCCATACATAATCTGGTGGGCATGGAAATCCACGCGAGCCTAGAAATAGTATATGCAGTGCTTGTCTCGTAGTCCAGTTTTGTACACCAGAACGTTGCCCTGTGTCATCCACATATCGGAACCAGTGGCTGGGTGATATTCCCACGTAGGAGTGTAGAGCTCGGTAGAGCACTTCCTCCATGTAGAGATTGCCACTATGGGAGACACAGGAGAGCCCATAGCGCAGCCATGCTTCTGTCTGTCACTTACTAGCCCATGTTAGTAAGGTTTTTTTCTGTTGGAATACACATCAGGATTACGTTATTGTGATCGGTCAGCAACTGGAATGCTGGTCAAATTTGGAAACGGTGCTTTTAATTTGGTTTTTTACAAGAAGTGAAGAGTATTATCAATATAGTTTCCAGCATAGAGGCTGGTCGTGGAGCAAGCATAGGGTTATGGTGTGTATGATGTGGTACAAATGAACAAACATAGCAATCAGAAAGATTATGAAGTGAAGCTGTCAAGTTTGCAACCTAAATACAATGGTTATCTTCATGATCATGGTTGTCCAGTAATGCACTCCTTCGTCTCAGTGGATGAGACGAGTTGCTCTGAAAATAAGGTGCAGTTCCATTCATGTTATCATTGTCTGTTCTTGTTTGGTATTCCCACCACAGAATTGGAAACACAATAATGAATGCGATAAAGGTGAAGAAACATAATGTCCCTCTTAGTCCACACAGTCCTGGTTTGCCGGAAGGGATGCCAAGGAGCCATTTCTGATACACACTAGGGGGTGCGCTACCCGTTGATTTCTTCACCAGGTTTGAGACGATCACTGTGATAGTGGCAGCATGTGTTCACTGCATACACCTAATGTATATATTCCCTTTGTAGCCAGACTTTACGCACTAGTGTGTGTCCGTATTTCAGCTTCTTGGGCTCTTAACAGTTTACAGTGGTTTTTGTCAATCCAGGAGGGTCATTCAGCAATTCGGACTGCGGTTGGAGTCGTTAGAAGGACCTTGTAGGGGCCGTTCCACCGTGGGTCAGACCACCTTGTTCTCTGTGTAGTTTTTAGGAACACTAAGTCGCCAACCTGGATCTTCTGGTCATGTTCAGATTTCTGTGGGATAGATAGAGAGAGCTTTGGCAGACTCTTTTGATTCTTCTGTTCTTTTCTTTTTGCAGCATTTCTCAAATAAGCATGCAAATCATCTTTTTTGTCATTTTCTGGTAACGATGCAGTTAGTTGTGGAAAAGTAAATGGTCGGTGAAAGACACATTTAAATGGAGTTAACTCAGTGTTAGGTTTATTCTAACATATGTGACGACAAAGTAACAACACAAAAGACGTCTGGATCTTTTTCTTGCAAGGGGAGAGTGCAGCTTGCTCTTCTGGCAGCTTCCTCATCAACTCCGAGTTGCTGCACCCTTCCTCTGCTCTTTTATTTAGTTTACAAAAGTATCAGATTACATATCATGTGATCGTGTGTGAGTATATGAATGGGTATGGAGTAAGAAGGTGGGTGTGAATGTGGGTGTGGCTGTGTCTGGTAATTTCTCCATTAGTCTTGAGCACACATTTTCCAACATTTCCCTCCTGTTTATCAT